CAGTTAAGATGAGGGTGATAATGTTACTGGATATTGTGTTTTCATTACGACAATTGAGAGAATTTCAGAGGGCGAAACTAGTGACGACGGCGACAAAGGCAAGGCAAACTCATCCGAAAGTATATTAGTATGTCTACGATATCTGGAATTAAATCCTCTTCTAACATTTATTAGTATGTCTACCATATCCGGAGTCAAATCCTCTAATTTTTATGGTTAAATTATACCCACACAAAAAATCGAAAGGGATATCAAAAGTTATCCAACAATATGGAATATTACATTATCATTAATTTAAAATCTGTGAAACCAATGAGCCTCCGATTTCAGATTATCTTCCTTTTTTTCTCTCGCGTATGGAGAAACCCAAGAGAGTGAAGATAGGTCAATCCATAAACTAAAACAAAAATCATCTTTCTTTCTGTTACGAATCTTCATCTAAAAAAATTATCGAAAAAATCTTACAATCAATGTCACTCCGCGAGTTAAAAAGCCTCCTAGGAAGCAAACATCAAACGCTACCAACACAAAAAGATCAAAATGGTAGGTTGTTTGTGTTGAATAGAGAATGTCTTATAACATTGAATGAACAACATATTTATTTTATTCTGATTCAACATTTGTATTTATTCACCGTTTGTTTTTGGATTTTGTTCTTATTAATCAGCATCTGATATGACCGAAGAAGATAAAAACATGTACGCCAATTTTCTTCTCTCTTTTTTTTTTCATTAATTCTCTTTTTCATTATCATATGCAAACTGCATCTTTGTTTTGTCACACATGTCTCGCAAGTGAATTCACTTTTGTATAATTTTTGTTTCATATGCCTTTCGTTTGAATTTAATTGGCTTTAATCCATGTTAAAAAACGCTTCTGCCGCCGCGTCGGCGGTAAAACGCTCGGCGGCCTCTAACCGCCGCGAATATGCCCAAAACGCTGAAAAACACGGAAATTTGATTGAAAGTCGATTTTTCTTGATTTTATGAGAAGAAAATGATGTTAAATGATAGATCCATTATGATTTCGTATAAATCAAGTGAAATATTTGTCTAAATCGATGACTGATACAACAAAAACCAGCGGCGGCCACTAGGGTTTCTGAATTTTTTTTGTCAGTTTATGGAAAAATGATAATAAATTGACCATTTTGCCCTTAATG